CTCCAGGTTACATTTTCGTCTAAAAACACGCCTAAAAAACTATTATTATGCAAGTAAGAAAAATAATACTAAAAATAAAAAATTAGGAATATTTAAAATAAAAGAGCAATTGACTATAAACCTACTTAGACTAATTTATTTATAAAAAAAGTCTTTATTTTGGTGTTAGAACAGAGCCCTCTAACAAATAGATTTCACATGAAGACCATTCAAGGGCAACTAATGAGTGCCAAAAGGGTTCACAGAATTTTGGAGGCAGGGCAAAGCACCCAAGCGGGCACAAAACGTCTGCTGAACGTTTTGAAGAAATCCTTCGGAATAGTGACGTCTTAAGGACGTTGCATAGACCTCCCTCGGACGTCTGTACCCGCTGGGGCGGTGCAACTTTGCAAGGTTTTACTTTTACTGAATGACTTTGAACATAAATAAATAAACTTTTTAGTTTGAAAACGTTTTTTTAATAACATAAGTCTCTACTTTGGTTTCTACTCTCTATAAGTATTGAATCAAACAAATTATTTACTTACTTTCCCTGGAGGCACAGAATTTCGGCTGGACGTCTTTGGACGTGCTACGGACATGTGACGTGCAATAAACGTCTGTGCCCGTTCGGTTAGCGTTTGATTTGAAGTTTTCATTATCAAGTGAGGAATAAATTTTCCAATAATGGAGCAAATTCGTCAGTACAACTAATATAATTGAAAAATACGTAACTTTAGCGATAGAAGAAATTTTTTACTCTAAAGCATAATTTTTTAGGTAATTTTAGGAAGATTTCCTTATTCGAGAATAGTATACCTCTAAATAATATTATCAAGATAAAATTAGTAAAAGTCAGTTTTCTGATCTCTAAAACGTCTAAACAAGCGTCAATTGTTGAACTTTTTCTAGAAAATATCAAAAAATAATTTTGGCATAAATCAAAACCGTCTTGAGGCGCTCGCGCACAAAATATCACATTAAAGCAATAACAAAAACTATATGATTACTTAACAGTATAATTAATAATATAACTCAATTTAAAAAGTTACAAGACGCTTATAAGTCCTTTGAATAGAATTCGCATATGTATCAACTACGAAATATACTTCGCATACCCACTGATTGCAACTTAAACATTGAAGCCAATCTTAAATTGATTTTCTCCAAATAGCTGCTCTGACACAAAGTTTCTATCAATAGCTGCTTTGACGCAAAGTCTCAATGTTATTTTTTAGTTTAAAACTACTCGATAAATTTGGACGATCGGAATCAGTTCAAAAATATTTGTTTATTTTGATTTTGACTTATTTATCTTGATCTTCTTTTTTTTTGACTTCTGTTTAACACTGACTAGATTTTTAATTTCATCTTTTTTTAGCAGGAGGTTTCATTTTAAACCTAACATCATCTGTTTTGAGTGAGAGGGTTTGCTTATTTTTCAGAAAAGGTACAACAGTCCTTAAAATCAATAAATTTGGGTCTTCCTGCTTAAGCTTGGTTTTATTAAACACCTCTGTTCTTTTGAATTCAAAGTCTTTTATTAAATTTCTTTAGAAATGCAAGCCACAATAATACCTTTTTACATTTTGCAATAAAACCTCTTTTTCTAAGTATTTTGGGCTAGACACTTTAATTTCGAGGGCTGGTTTTTAATAAGGTATCATCAAGTAATTTCTATGTTCATCAATATGCCTTCCTTTTTACTCGACCCTTAATTAAAATATATGCCAATTATGCAAAAAGCTATTACGATTTGTACTATTAGCAAAAGGTGCTATATTTTATTTTCTTGAATGGTATTATAAGATTTTAAATGTTAAAAATTGTTATTCCACGCACACGTTTTACATAACAGTTTCTGTTCACAGCAAAAGCTATTTAACCGCTTAGAATATTTACGAACATCTGTAATAATATATATATTTTTTTTTTAATTTAATATTTAGGTGCCCTAAGAAGTCCTTAACGGTCTTGTCACAGAGCACCGGGGAAATGCATTTAACCAGGAAGTTCACGCCTCCTTCCTTACCGTGACGCAAAATATGTCCAAAGCTCATTTCGAACTTAGATCTCCTGCTTGTAAAGCAAACACAAGACTTCAACTTTTTTGTGTGTTTTGAGACAGTTGACGTAGATGTGGTAATTTCAATTTGCGTAATAAAATAGCTTTGCTAACTATTGGCAATAATCACACATTGCATCTTTATTATCGTCTTCCCAGCCGGTACATCTAATTTTACTTTCGTAGTTAAACCAGGACTCAAAAGTCCTGGTTTCAGGTAAAGATGTTGCATCTGTAATATTAAACTATTTGTTATAGCTATTAAAACTTGTGTCATGAAAGAAATCTATTGTTTCTTCCGTGACACTAGTTTTAAATGCCTATAACTTCAAATTTAGAATTCTCCTAACAATGTCTTTTCTGAAAATTAAATAGATATTTAAAGATAGTATACTACATATTACATACTAACATACTATGTTAGGTATTTTTGTCCCCTATAGAGACGTAGTTGTCACGATTCAGACATAAACCCAAAACACGTTTATTTCACGGACAGTTTTATGAGGTTCGAGTTTTATGAAGTTTTAAAGTCAAACTTAAATGTCGCGTGTTTTTATCACTGGTTTAACATAATTTACATTTAGTATTATATGATTCTACGTTTCATAACAGTGAAACAAATAATATCTTTAATGGTGTTTCGATAAATTATAATAGTTAACTTTACGAAGTAGAAACCCTATCCTCGATTACCTATCCTCGAAACTTGTTGTTCTATACGTTTAAAAGGGTTTTAAACACGCAGCAGAAACTATGTAAACTTTTTTTCTGAGTTATATTGGCTAGTTTGTTGCAAAAATAAAAATTGTGAACAATTTTTATTTTTCTGACGACAGTGCCAAAGAAAAGGGCCACTGGGTGTGTTTTATCTAGGTACACCGGCAAGAAAAGCACACGAGGCCTTATTTTTTTATTTGAATAACAAGCTTACTAAATAACTTTTTATCGCATTGGATACTCGGTGATAAGGCTAAGTTATGCCTTCATCTTGCTCGAGTTGATTGGATACTCTTTTATATTTTTGTTGATTGTAAAAAATTTTAAACGGCGAAATTAATTAAACGAAAAAAGATTTTAATTTGTTCGCCTTGGCTCTAATTAGTGATGGATTGTAAAGGAGCATTCTGATGGTAGAAAATCTGGAAAAAAAAGGGTGCCGACATTGCAAAGCTGATTATGGAAGTTTTGAATCAATCCCAAATTGAGTTAAAGAAATGTAGAGGGCAGAGTTTTAATAAAGAACTTAATTTATTCGGTTTACTTAAACGAATGCAGGCCATCATTCTCGAGAAAGTTTATTACATGCCTTTAATTGTGCATAGTCTCAAACGACAAACTACATTCTTCTTGGCCCTAAATTCTTTAAGAACTTTGCTTGATTTCAAAAAATAATTTTTTATGAAGAGGACTAGGAATAAGAAAAAAAATCACAGCAAGTCACACACTTGCCTAAAGATGGGGTTTAAACGACGGATCTTTTGTTTATGAGCAAATGTGCTACCACTACTCAACGGCTGGCCATGAGTTGATTGAAGATATCTGCCCATCTAGATGTTTTCAAGCGAATAAATACTGTTAGAAAAATAGAATCTTTTCCTTCGATCAAGTTGGCAGCGGTATCTACCAAAGCGATCTTTAGTTAATATTTCCTTTCAACTGCATTTTACTTCGCATTTACAATACAATCCTGGTTTCAGTGGCTGAAGGAGAACGCACTTTCAGTAACTCTCCTTATAGTAATTTAAATCAGACACTACCTCGCCAAGACTTTTTTGTACAAAGATGTCATCTCTAGTTTCGTGATGAAGAAAGCCCGGAGACTTGAGTTAGCGTGGTCTGACTGGTCTTCATAATTAACATTTTATTGCTAAAATATAAAAAATCACTCGTTTTTATTTGTATTTGTATACTCGTTTTATCATATATAACCAAGTTCAAATATTGAGTGTTGTAACAATACTTAATACAGATATGTAACGATACTTAATACAGAAATAAATATTGTTTTCAAAGGTTCTGTGCAGGTATACGAGAGGAAATTTTTTCATAACTTATAAACAATCATTTGAAACAAGTTAACTTTTAAATGTATTGAACATCAGCAAAGTTTGTATTATCTGCTTAAAAAGTTCACATTTAAAAATTCCTTTTACTTGGTATATAACATTAATAACAATAATGAGTAGTAGTTTTAAATATCAATCAATGTTGTTATAAAATATGACATTTATATATGTATTGAGTTATATCTTCAGCTTAAATATTTCTTGCTCCACCTTTAGTTCAAGTTCTTAAAAAGGTTTTAATCATAAGTTGTTTTAATCTTAATGTTGTTAGGTGTTACTAGGAACAAGGTTTTTAGAAATTAAATTAAAATAAACTTTGAAGAAAAAAAATTACTTTTTTTTTGATTAACTACAATAAAGTCTCTACATATATAAAAATATTTTCTATAAAAAAGAACATCTTTATGTTTGACAAAAAGTAAGGTAACAAATCTTAAAAAGAACAACGAACATCTACTATTAAAAATTTTAAAATGAATCTCGCGATATGTTGAGGCAAAAATTTTAATGAGAAAATTTAACTCTTTTAAATAACATCCTTTATTGACAAATGCATTTTAATCAAAAACTTAAAATGCGTATAGTGTAACTCTCTATATAAACAGATGCATTACTAAGACACAGGTACTTAATGTAGCCTTTTAAAATAGAAAAATCTAGTCTTAGACCAGTTTAATTTTTATTATAAAAGTACAAGAAAGGTAATTCAAAATTTTAATTCAACTTTCAATACAAAAAAAATTTAGTTTGTTTAAAAAAAGACATCAATATAGTAACGTGACTAAGTCTTAAATTTTGTTTATATTTTACTATGATTAATATTTATGAGAAAATGACAACTTACGATAATTGTATTTTCTTAAACTTACGATAAGTGATAAACTTACGGTAATTGTCTTTACATAACAGCAACAGAAGTAAAAGAAGAGATACCTACAATAATAAACAACTTTATAAAAAAGAAACAGAAAAAAAGTCGAAAAATCAACTTTACTCCCTTAGGCCATGTGTGAAATAATAATTAAAATGGATAGTAAAACTTTTTCCCAACTTACCATTTTATTTTTTTATAAAAATATTCCACGTAGGTTTAATAAAAAACGTGATTTTAAAGCAAAAAATTTTTTTGAATACTTTTAAACAGTTTCTTGAATTTCATTCAAAAAAAATTTTTATTTATTTTCAATACTCATTGAGCATTTTTATACAGAAGTAAGAATTTTGTATTGACTTTTCACACGATTACAATAATTGAACGATAATAGTCATTCAATTTTATTAGGAACTCATTACTTTTTAAACATAATCTTTATTTTTCAATAATAAACAAAACGTCAAATTGATATTATATTACTTGGATGCGCAGTATATATTATATATATATATATATATATATATATATATATATATATATATATATATATATATATATATATATATATATATATATATATATATATATATATATATATATATATATGTATATATATATATATATATATATATATATATATATATATATATATATATATATATGTATATATATATATATATATATATATATATATATATATATATATATATATATATATATATATATATATATATATATATATATATTTAGATTTATTTCCCCGTTTAAAAATAGTTACAATAACCAGATAATATAGTTACAATTATATGTATATATGTATAATTACAATAACCATAAGTGAATATATGTTTACATTTACATTTGGCAGCAACAACGGCAGGGCTTCTAGAAGATCATAAGGATCTTATCATGAAGCCCTTTAAAAATATAACACATTTACATTTTTTCAATATAATTTTAATTAAAAATAAACTGTTCGTAATGAAATAATATATCTTTTTATGAAAAAAAACTTAGTAATTATTAGTCTAAAATAAAAGAATATATAAAATAGTTAAAAATAGATGAGAATATTTTCTAATAATAGGATAATCTTTTTAAGTTTCTGTTTAAATGAAGCATAAGTCATTTTAATAGAAAAAACAAAATTTGGTAAAACTATTTTGTTCCAAATATAAGGTCCTCGATAAGAAACAAGAAACTGGTCTTTTTTTTGATCCCAAAACGGGGCGATAAGATTGTTATTAGTGCGAAGATTATACTTGTTTTTCGGTTTTAAATTATAAACATTTGTAAATACAGTTGGTGACAGATTTTCTCTACATTTAAACATAAAGCACAAAATATTAAAAACATTTAGTTGGTACACATTCAAAATATTCATTTCTTTAAAAAGTTGTTTTGTGTGAGAAAATCGATTTTTAAAATTTATTACTCGAACTGCGTGTTTCTGACGAAGGTAAAGAGATTTAAGCTTTGTCTTATTGGTGTTTCCCTATATACTATTTGCATAGTTTATATGACAATGAATAAATGAATTATACAATTGTGTAATCTGATGTTTACATAATATATTTCTTGCTTTATAAAGAATTCCGATGCCTTTTGCAATTTTTTGTGGAAGTAGCATCGATATGATACCTCCATGACAAGTTTTCGTCAATATATATTCCAAGAAACTTTGTAACCTTTTCCCTTTTTAAAGTAATATTGTCGAATAAAAGATCTGGCATGATATGTGGAAGTTTTGTTTTTTAGAAGGCGGATAAAAGAGTGTCCATTTCGTTTTTTCAATATTGAAGGACAATCTTTTTTGTTTAAACCAAACAGAAACTTTTTTTAATTCATTTGTCATATCAGTAAATAGTATATTAATACTTTTATGAGACAAAAATAAATTTGTATCATCTGCAAAGTTTATTGTTGTTTGGTTTGAAGATTTATGAAGATCGTTTATGTATATTAAAAAAAAGAGTGGACCAAGTATGGATCTTTGCGGAACTCCACATGATATATTCATAAATGCACGATGTGTGGAATCTTTATTGAAGACAAATTGTTTACGGTTTGTAAAGTAACTTTTGAACCAAAGCAGAGTTTTATCATTATTACCATATGTTTTTTTAATAGGATTTGGTGATTCAATATATATATATATATATATATATATACATATATATATATATATATATATATATATATATATATATATATATATATATATATATATATATATATATATATATATATATATATATATATATATATACTATATATATATATATATATATATATATATATATATATATATATATATATATATATATATATATATATATATATATATATATATATATGTATATATATATATATATCTATATATATATATACATATATATACATATATATATATATATATATATATATATATATATATATATATATATATATATATATATATATATATATATATATATATGTATATATATATATATTAAGTATATATATATATATATATATATATATATATATATATATATATATATATATATATATATATATATATATATATATATATATATATATATATATATATATATATTAAGTACGTGGACTGATTTTTTTAAACTGATCAAATACTAGAATATATATCATTAGAAAGCCCTCAAATACAGTATTTTAAAGGTGAAAAAACTATGAAAATCGGACAATTCTATCAAAAGCTATGACGTTTTAAGTAGCAAATTTTTGATTTATGGATTTCTTGATGAAACTGTGGTCAAAAAAACTTTTTTTTCACATAAATTGTTATAGCTTTGCTAATTCTTATTCAAATATCTATAACTTGGTATCAAAAGATAGGTGTAGAAAAGGGCTATAATTTTCAATTAAATTTGAGGTCAAGGGCGTATCCAGGGATTTGGAGGGAGTGCTAATCCACCACCTACACCTTACAAAAATACACTTTTTTTTATAAAAAAGTATTTTTCTTTTAAAATTACAAATATCTATATACAAAAAATTGTTATTATTTTATTCCACATCACTAGTGAATATTAAAAGTCTCTCAAAGTCGGGTGTTGGGTTTTGAATAAGGTTTAACATACCCTATCAAAATTTCATTCGTTTAAATATTTCAATCTTTACTAAAACAATCAATTTTAGTATAAAATAAAAAATATATTTCGATACTTGAAAAAATAGTAACTAGTGGTGTATAAATTGACTTCATAGAAGGGGTATAAGCCGTCCCCCTTCCGCCTAATACCTAAAAAAAGTTTTAATTAGAATTTAACAAAAAAAGTTTAATAATGCTTATTAAACACATATAAAATAGTATAAAAAACTGTTTTACCATGTTACAGTGGTGTATAAATTGCCTTCATGAAAAGGGGTGTAAGCCGCCCCCTTCCGCTCAATACCTAAAAAAAAAGTTTTAATTAGAATTTAACAAAAAAAAGTTTAAAAATGCTTTTTAAACACATATAAAATAGTATAAAAACTGTTTTACCATGTTACAAGACTGCAAATAGATACAGCAAGTTTTGTGGCTTGCAAACAAGTACAACAAGTTTTGTGGCTTGCCATTAGGTAAAGCAAGTTTGTTGTTGAACTCCAACCTAAAAAAAAACACAAAGCAGCAAGTCTTTTGAAATAAAAAAGTAATTAACTATTGTCTTGGCTTTTAGTAAATGATTTATGTTTTGAATTCCATTTATGAACTAAATAAATCATTTTTAATGATAGACACCAAGTGAAGGTAAGCCAGAGCCATCTATCAAAAAAAAATTTGCAAGCCACAAAACTTGCTGTACCTATTTGCAAGACACAAAACTTGCAGTACTTGTTTGCAAGCCACAAAACTTGCTGTACTTATTTGCAAGCCACAAAACTTGCTGTACCTATTTACAAGCCACAAAACTTGCTGTATCTAATTGCAAGCCACAAAACTTGTTTTACCAAATGGCAAGCCACAAAACTTGTTGTTCTTGTTTGCAAGCCACAAAACTTGCTGTACCTATTTCCAAGACACAAAACTTGCGGTACTTGTTGGTAAACCACAAAACTTGCTGTACTTATTTGCAAGCCACGAAACTTGTTGTACCCATTTGCAAGCCACAAAACTTGCTGTACCTATTTGCAAGCCACAAAACTTGCTGTACCTAATTGCAAGCCACGAAACTTGCTTTACCTAGTGGCAAGCCACAAAACTTGTTGTACTTGTTTCCAAACCGCAAAACTTGATTTTGCGGTTTGGAAACAAGTATCTATTTGCAATCCACAAACCTTGAAGTACTTGTTTGCAAGCCACAAAACTTGCAGAATTTTTTTTTCAAGTATTTTTACATTATTTCATATTCAAACTAAGAAAATGTTAACTCATCTAATACAACATCAGCAGGTAGCTGGATTTTTTTCATCTTATGCTCAACAACTTCAATATCATTTTTATTCAGTAAGAAATAGTGTAAATTCTATCATTTTGTCTTTTGTTTACTTATCCTAGTCTACCATCATAAATGATAGACTTCGATGAGTCAGTATCATACCATTCATGACAGAGTTTTCTGCCAGCAATTCTTTCATCTAAATCTTCAAGTTGTTTTGCAGATAAGTGTTTGTATAAATTCATCTTTTCGCTGATAGTTAAGATTTCAAAGCATTATGAAACATTTTATATAAACCCTTGCAAAAAAAAAAAAAAAAAACTTTTATTTAGAATTTGCTTATTTAAAATAAAATACTTTTATAAAATATAAATAAGCATTAAAGTTTTTCAAAAACGAAGAACAATCATAAAGAAATATTTCAATTTAAACATTAACCTGCAGAAGATTGTGCTGCAGGAACTTAAAGTTATAAATTGATGTAAACAACAAAAATAAAATGAAATTGGAATTAAATCTATAGTATAATTTTAATGAGATAAACTATGCACTGCTAACAAAGAAGTAGTTTTTTAACATACCAACCAAAGCAGAATTAGATGCAGCTAAAAATCAAAAAAACAATGTAAATAACAAAATAAATGACTTTTTTAGAAAAATCAAAACACTGCTGAAAAATAATTAGTTCTTAAACTTACTATTTGTGAAAAGGATGTACTCAACCAAAAAAATATTTGATTTAGGCATTAAATTATTACAGAGATTAAAAATTAATAGCTTTAAAACTTAGTAACTGTGGCAGATATAGATTAAAAAAAGGTGTATTCAAGTAAACAAGTATTAGAAATTGGCCTTACATACACATATTACAAACAAAGTAAACAAAGAAATAGCTTTTAAACTTTCTAAATGTGGTGGATGTTGATGAAACTAAAAGTAAAATAAAGCTGTAGTCAAAAAGAAAAAAAGAAAAATTGAATTTGGTATTAAATCTATAGTATAGCCATAACAAAACCCGAGGAGTTGCCACAAGCAGAACGACGCCTTAAACCCAGAGAAAATAAAGAAGTAGAACGTAAATTAATGGAACAGTTTGGAAATCAATTACATTAGCTCTCAAATCAAAAACGCTTCCAGTTGAAAACTGGGAAACCGTGTTACAGGATACTTTACACTCGATTCGCTCTTTACTTTGTACTAAAATTAATGCAACACCACACGAGAGGTTCTTTAACTTTCTATGGAGATCTACAAACAGACAATCTACCCCTACCTGGTTGTTAGAGCAAGTGTTTGTGAAAAAAAATATTCGATCCAGCAAATACGATCCCCTAGTGGAAGAAGCTGATCTGATAGAAGAAGAGCCACAATATATTTGCATTAAATTATTGAACAAACGAGAGTATACTGTATCCATTAAAGAGTTAGAACCATTACGAGTAAACTTTTTCGCTCAAATACTGAAATTGCTGACAATAGTATTATTGACACAAAGTTTACCTCACAACGCAATAAACAACCAACTACAGACGAAGAAAGTTTGCTTGATCCAGAGTCTAATATTAGACTCTGAATCAAGCAAACTTTCTTCGTCTGTAGTTGGGTGTTTATTGAAACCTACCCACTGGGTGCAAGCTAGCCACCTTCTAAGACGATCTCAACGAAATTAGAGAACGCCCCGAAGGTACTGGTATGAGGACGAGTAATTTTATTGATTGAAAGAATGTTATGAAATATTTTTAAACGTTATAAACTATTATGACTTATTAATCTCTCTGGAGAATTGTTGTGTTATTATTATTTTAAAAGTTCTGTTGTATCGATTTAGACTTATGATAGATAGAACCTTAATAGTTAAGAGGTGTTATTATTTCAACTACTATTTGTAAAATATTAGGACTCTTAAGTTAGAGGAACAATTAATTTTTGAGCCCGGAGTCCTTATGTTTAATGGCGGCAAGTTATTAAATTTCATGAATTCTTTTCTCATTATATTTGTATCATTATTTAAAAATAAACACACTAAAAAAACCCCGTTGTTATAAAAAGATTTGAATAGTTATTTAATGAGCATTGCATAAAGCTTTACATAAAATGGCAAATTGACGCAAAAAATTATGTAAATAAAAACGCATTTGACACAAGCAGATAAGTGTTCAATTATATTCATTATATCTGCACTGATATCCCTTCATTCAACGCATTTTCTTTTTGGTCTTGAATAATATCGGGAATGTTCGGCATTTCGAGATTTCCTAATATTTGAACCATTCTTGTAAACTTATCTAAATTATAAAAAATACTTTACTTGACAAATTAAGGTCAAAATCGGCAGTAAATGACATTTACAATTTAACAATCGATTTACCGTAATAAATTTAAAAACCATACTAACACGCGTAATACACGCTTTTAAATAAAAAATATCACAATCAACATTTTGTAAAAGTTTTATATAGGATTATATAAAAGATCTAAGTAATCGGCCTATTATATATAGGATTATATAAAATATCTAATTAATATATATATATATATATATATATATATATATATATATATATATATATATATATATATATATATATATATATATATATATATATATATATATATATATATACATATATATATATATATATATATATATATATATATATCTATATATATATATATATATATATATATATATATATATATATATATATATATATATATATATATATATATATATATATATATATATATATATATATATATATATATATATATATATATTAATTACTGGGGTAAAATGGGGTAGTGGGGCAAAATGGGGTTTTGAAAATACACCCCATTCAGAGCCTCAGAGCATCGAAAAAAATATTGGATTTGAAATATCGCGAGAAGAGACGTCGCCATCTTTTACTTTTGTTCACATTTTCTTCAAGTATCGTCGTTGAGAGGTAAATACAATTTTGTCAACTTTTTCATCTAATTTTTTAACATTATATTTTAAGAAGCAGCTTCTTTCTAATTAAAGCTTTGAATTAAATATATTATTGTTCCTGAATGATATTATATATATAAGCAATTAAGAATCTTATATATTCATGAGCTTTGCTCTGCTTTGTTTTTTCGAACAGTTTTATTATGCCTCCTATGTTGGGGTAAAATGGGGTGTGAACCTTCCACTTCATGTACAGGTAGCACATCCACCACTGAACCTTCAACATCATGTAGGCCTAGCACATCAACCACTGTACCTTCAAGCTTTGCAATCTCGCCACGTCATTTGTTGCCCATCCCAAAACAGGCCCAAAGAAAACGTATTTCTAAACAAAGAGGAAAAACAGCTATTTTGACTTCTTCGCCATATAAAAGATCATTAATGGAAGCCAAAGAAAAAAAGAATCCAAAGAAAAACAAATCTGTCAAAAAATCAAATGAAGACACACCATGCCTCTATTGTGAGGATCTTTATTCCAGCAGCACAGAGAGTTGGGTCTCATGTACTGAGTGCCACAGATGGTCCCATTATTCTTGTGCAGGCATTGATGAAAGAAACAAAAAACCTTACTTTTTGTGTGAGCTATGTACTAGCAGTGATTGATTATATTTGTACTAGCAGTGATTGATTTATCATACTTGTTTGAGTTCGTCCTTTGACCCCATTTTGCCTCATCCATTACCCCGTTTTGCCCCATGCTTGGGGTAAAATGGGTTTTTATGTTATTTTTAAAAAAATGTAATAAATAAATTAATTTACATTCTTTTGACTTGCTGTTTTGTTACAATGTTGTCTATGTTGTATTCTGATGTTTCAACATTTATTTGTAATCATTTTATTTATTTTTGTGACTTTTATAGGGTTTCATTCTTAAGTACCCCATTTTACCCCAGTTTCCTCTATATATATATATATATATATATATATATATATATATATATATATATATATATATATATATATATATATATATATATATATATATATATATATATATATATATATATATATATATATATATATATATATATATATATATATATATAAATATAGGATTATATAAAAGATCTAATTAATCGGCCAACTTCGCAAAAAAACATTTCATAATGAAAAGCATCTTTCCAGATAAAATAAAAAATAACTGTAAATTTATGCTCCGTGACATTTTTAAATAAAAATTAATAAATACGTTAAAACAAAATAGTAATAATAATATTAATAATAATAATAATAATAATAATAATAATAATAACAATAATAATAATAATAATAATAATAATAATAATAATAATAATATATATATATATATATATATATATATATATATATATATATATATATATATATATATATATATATATATATATATATATATATATGTTGATAATGAGTGTGATTATTGAATACTAATTACCAAACAGCTTGATAACAAATTGTGGTACAATTTGATACTTAACGAATCCAAAGTAAATAGGTATGCCAGTTAATACAACAATAAGACAATATGTAGATTCCAAAGGATCATCATGATATGGTGATACTACAAGATATACTGAGAAAAATAGCACTATGATTGGAATTCCAATGAAAACCTATAATAGATACAAAAGAAAACTTTATTAATATTAATTTGTTTACAATTTTTATATATCTCAATAGTAAAAAATTTAATAAAACTGCAAAAATTCATTAAAATTGCAAAAATTTAGTAAAATTGCAAAAACATAATATTTTTAAAACCATATGGTAGAGTGAGGTAATTTAAGCCTATTTTAAGCTACTTATGACATATTTTTTTTTAAAAAAAGAATGCATTGATATCTGCTTTCTAAAAAAAGATATTGTAAAACCATAATTGGACATCTTATCATATAAATTGGACATACTATCATATAAATGATATCAAATAATTGGACATCCTATCATATAAATTAAACCGAAAAATACAAATTAAAATAATCTGAAAGTATCTAGAAAGCTCTTCTTCAAAGCTGTCTTCACAGACCCGCATAATCCGACTTATACTGCTGTATAAGAGAAATTTCAGAGTTGGTCAAATGTGATGCTAAGTGGTTCTAAGTTTGGAGAAATTGCCATTTTATACTTTGTTCATATACCTAGATCATCAACCATATCACCCAAATTTAGGGAGAAAGTGGTCAGGTGTGGTGAATGATATTGTTTTTGAGTAAACACCAAGCACAAACCAATGAAGCCAGATTCAGAAGCTCTCTCAACGATCTTCCATCTTCAATTATAAATTTAAACACTGCACAATCATACATTTTTCTAATAACTGTATCTGTTTGAGGTCCAATAAAAGGGAGCTTAATGAAGAGCCTGATGATTTTTCGATTATGTCGATTATGTTATTGGAATTCTTTTTTTTTTTTTTTTTTTTTTGTAGATGCACATCTTTTAGATGCTTCTCTGTGAAGCTTTTTATGGTCACGTTTTATATGGTTTCATAGTGAGATAAAGTTCTAGTTTTATGAACAGAATACTTTTTATTGCAATTTTTCTGTTTGCATTGCCAGAATATTTCTCTTTTTTCAAAGAACTCTTTAACTAACAATTTCTTGGTAGTCATTGTTTAGCTAAACAGCTTTTTTATTTCCAGTTTGTAGCACTCAAAATTATTCAAGTTTAAAATTACTTAAAGTAAAAGCGAAATCAAAAAATACCAAAGCAATTATAGATTTAACTATACAGTTTACGCATTAATAGTTTGCCCTCAGCTCTGTTTCAATCCTTAATCGGCAATTAATTTTATTAAAATACGTTACAAAATTTCTTTACTGCTGAGTTTTCCAATATGTGTTAATATCTTAACAACTTTTTAACGTCAAAAATATGTATGAAAATATGTATGAAAACAAACAACAATAAAAAACAAAGATTTAAAAACTCAAATCATTTTTTTTAGCCGAATTTTAACTCAAAGCAGCAATTACTAGGCCCTGGGAGTCAAATTGATTTGCGAATCAATTGATTCGCAAATCGATTTGACTCCCAGGGCCTAGTTGTATTGTATGTAAGCAGTAAGGTAGTAAAAAAATAATATGGATATGGTTGTCCATCGCTGCTTTTATAGTAGCATATATTAAATAATACTATGACCATTGCAGATCAACAGTATTGGTTTTTAATCTTGGCAAGCAATGGTATAAAGTGCTTCATGACCCTAAATGAAGAATATATTTATTACTACCTTTGAATGGTCTTTAGAACCATAATTAATAAATACATAACAAATATTAAATACATAAATGAAAAAAGGAATGAAAAAAGAAGCTGAAAAATATAATTTAACTAAAAAACAAAAAATTAGGTACAATCTCAAGTACACAACCTGGAGGGCCACTTTCTATCAGTTTAGAATAAAGATAAACTTCTTATTTGAAAATAACAAATGGTGTTAGATATACTTCATCTGCAGGCACAGATAACAAAACAGATTACAAAGTTTTACCAAAAGCAGCCATCTTTTTTGGATAAACAATTACTTTTACTGTTAAGATATTTGTAACCAGTCTCGTCAAGGGTGTATAAACTACTTAGTACATCACAATCATTAATAAAATTTGATAAAAAAAGTAAGAACTTCTTATGTTGAACTTTTAGCACTTAAAAGTGTTTTAGGTTTAAAAGACAAAGTTTACAGTTAATCAAAATGACAGTACTTAAAAGAAATTATTCAACAACTTGGATAACTTCTTTTAAATACTTTCATTTTGAAAATTTGGTTGCAATGAATTGTCAAATATTGTTTGAAAAAAAGTACTGCTCTTAATGACATATCTGGTCAATAATTTAAACATAAATACAAATAAATCAGTTTTTTTTTAAATGGCTGATTTAACATTTTTTTTTTAATTCACTTTTTGTGTGTTTTGTGTTCTTCTATGAATAGCTTCATCAGTTTATATTAAAAGTGTGTTTAAACTATATTTTTTTACACAAATAAAGCCACCTGAAAGTTTTTCATGTTTAAGGTAAGTTTGCAGGTAAGTTTCGAACATTTAATGTGATATATATATACATATAATATATATATATATATATATATATATATATATATATATATATATATATATATATATATATATTTATATATATATATATATTTATATATATATATATATATATATATATATATATATATATATATATATATATATATATATATATATATATATATATATACACGAAATTTGATTGTTTTTAAATATTATGACAAAATATTTTGAAACATTAATCAAATTTCATGTAAACATCAGTTTAAATATGTTATATGTATATATGTATATATATATATATATATATATATATATATATATATATATATATATATATATATATATATATATATATATATATATATATATATATATATATATGCATATAACATATTTAAACCATTTTAAACTGATGTTTACATAAAATTTGATTAATGTTTCAAAATATTATGCCATAATATTTAAAAACAATCAAATTTCATGTAAAACATAATTTTAAAATGATTTAAATATATTATACGTTTATGTCTATTATTTATTAAATATATCATGTTTATTTGTCTATAATTTATAGAATAGCATATTTCCAAACACCTAGCCTAACTCTAAGTCTAAACCAGCTATAATACTTTGATAAGGATATACCTATTTTATACAGATATGATGAGTAAAATGACTTGAAAGTAAACAATTTACAGGTTTTACATATTAAACTTTTCTTGCATAGTAGTTCAATATGGATTGCTTTATTTTTGTTATGATTTTATTTTTCAGATAGTTAACTTACACTGAATTGTTAAATCTTGGTATAGTAACCATAGGCATATATAATTCTTGAGAGTATAACAGGTGGAAGCACAATAATGTCAAAAACTCTTAACATGATTTGTTCTATTTCCTTATAACTTTTGTGGCAAGTCACGGCCTTCTATAAGAACAGGCCTTGACATGGCGCAAAACACCATAAAAACTGAAGGCTGATTAAACTTTCCCTTCTATTGATATGTTTTTATATTAGGTATGGTGTAATGGCAGTCTATGTTTTCTAATAAAAATCTCTAATAAAGACAGAAATATAAAAGTAAAAGCAAAAAATAGTTAAAAGATAATTATATTTTTCGTATTTCAAATGTCATTAAGAATATTAATGTAATATTAAATAGTATCAATAACAAGCAGAACCATAACAATGTATATATCTATATATATAAAGATAGCTATCTTTTTTTTGTTTACAGAATCATAACTAATAAAAAAAAGGTAACAATAAAAATCACTAACAATAAAAAACAACAACAAAAATTGATTCATGCAAAAAAAAAGTTTTATCAATATATCTCAACAGAGTAAATATTTACAAATCCAAACATATTGAGAGACATTAAGGCTAAAGAGGAAATAGAAAATATAACAAGTAAATAGCATAATAAATTAAGAAAATAATTTTCACTTAAATTATGATAGCTTTAGTATTTTCATTTAAGATACTTTGCTACTGCTGGGACTGGTAATTAGTGCATAATTCTTTAGCAAAATATTAGAATATATTCTGCATTTTTTTTTTTTTGTGATTTTAAATTTATATTTAGATGCTATGAACTGAAACTACACCACTACCGCATATAAATGCACATAATCATACAATAAATATATACCTGATGTTGTCAACCATGGTTTACTATTAACTATTTTAAACATTTCAAAAATTTGTTGATTTACACAGTTATTACCAGTAATTATTGCCAGCATCTTACTAATTTTAACAATTGTACTATTGTATCAACAATTTGTTGGCATAGAGCAAACTAAAATTCAGAGAAAAGATTGTATTAAACTGTGTTAAAGTCCATATACTTGGCAACTTGTAGTCAATACACAAACGATCATATAAACTTCATCACATAGCAAAATACTTGTATGCTCTATATATAATATCTGGAGTATATAAAACTTCACCTATATTAACTTTTCTCATAGCATTAAGGTGCTTGAATAGAATATTTGACTGATGTGAAATTTCTTGATTTTTTAAAAATTTAACTGCTTCAAATAAAGCTGATTTTGTTTTTACTAACTTTAATTTGTTTACAGTTAAAGATGAAATATCACAAGTTGTGCTATTATGGTAAGCTACAAATAAATAATCATCAAAATATTCTAAAAGAAATAATGGAACACCAAGTTTGTATACTTTTGATTGTATGTGTAAACTTTTTATATTAAGCTGGAAAACAATAACATCATCATTATCACTTAATAAAGATTGAATATCGTCAAATATAAGTTCACCCTCTTTTAGAAAATCATTAAACTCATCTGGTAAAATGTTTCAAAAACTTTTGAACTTACAGTTTTTATTACTAAATATTGGTGGTGTGGGTAAACAACTAGGCGGAATATTTTTAAAAACAGAGGGTGGGTTTAAAGGCAGTTGCTTCCCATATTTTCTTTCAAAAGGAGCACCATCTGGCCAATGCAGTAGACATACTGCTGTATAGTCTGAAATAATAAAACTAGTTCTTGGGATAGCATCACTGTCTTTTTTTCTCTTCTGGATTATTTGGGAATATATA